CTTGTACTGTGATCTCTATATATATACCTGCATGCTTATACTTGCTAGGTTGTGATCACTGTACCTCTTGTTCTATTATCAAACTGCATGTGAACTGGTCATGTGACCGCTTGCTTGTGCTCGGAATTTGTGTGGTATCCTTGAGATCCACACTGAGCTTGTTTTGCTTTGCTTTGCTTTGACTGGTCTTGTGACCCCTTGCTCTCCCCCACTTAGCCTATGGGGGTGCGTCAAACATTATATGTGTTATAGTGTTGTAGGCTACAGTGGGTTAGCCTCTAGGGGGTACATTGCTCTAGCTTTTGGTACTTGTACTCTCATTCTTTCTAGTTCAACCACTTCACTCATTCTGACAGGAAACATCGTCCTTGGCAGTGATCTGGAGGAACAGGTGCAGGTCATCGAGCCAAACGTCAAACTTAATCGGACGGCCCTCAGCGTCAAAAGTGAGAACGGTAGGACTGGCCATAGTGGCAGTAGCAGCAGTAGGAACAGTAGCAGCAGTAGCAGGAGTAGCAGTAGCAGTAGCAGGAGCAGCAGTTGCTGCAGGTGGTGCACGGTAGGGCAGCGCGGCTCGGTCAGGGCGGCGCGACTCGGGCAGGACGGCGCGGCTCGAGCAGGATGGCGCGGCGCGGCTCGGGCAGGGAGGGTGGGCCGGCGCGCGGTTCGGGGCGGCGGCCTACGTGCGGGCGGCGGCCTACGTGCGGGCGGCGGCCTACGTGCGGGCGGCGGCCTACGTGCGGGCGGCGGCCTACGTACGGGCGGCGGCCTACGAGGGCAAGGCGGCGGCGCGCTCCGGTCGACGGGCAGCACGCGGGCTGCGCTAGGGGCCGCGCGAGGCCAGGGCGGGCTACGCGTGGGCGGCGTCGACCGCGTGGGCGGCTAGGGGGTCGCGCGCACGAGAAACGGGCCGCGCGCGGGCGGCTAGTGGGCTACGCGGGCGAAAAACGGGCCGCGCGCGGGCGGCTAGCGGGCTACGCGCACGAAAAACGGGGCGGGCGAGGGCGCACTAGGTGTCAGAATGTTATAATTGTCTAGCCTGCAGTGGGGTACTCCATAGTGAGTACAGCCCAATTAGGGTTTGCTATATGTATCCAACTGCTTGCTAGTGAAACCCCTCCTTTCTTCATTCTCGTTCTCTCTCAGTTATCTTGACACTAGGAGCGAGGCGCACGAGGGCGCGAGGAAGGTAGGGCGCACGAGGGCGCTACTAGCGGAACGGTGGGCCCTTAGGAACGATCGGTCCTAGGTTCCTAACCTAGGCTCGTAATACCATGTCAGAATGAGAGAAGTGTTTGAACTAACAACATTGGGAGTACAAGTAGGAAAACCTAGAAGTTGTACCCCCTAAGGCTAAACCCACTATAGCCTACAGAGCAGAAACGTATACAATGTTTGACATCGTTCGGCTTGGTGCCCCCAGTTCCTTCATCCATGGCGAGCGACTCCTGGCTCGCTTCATCTCGCGCCTGGCGTAGCTAGGCGTTTCTCCCCTTCAGGCGCCCAACCTCCATCGACAATGTCTGCATGTTGGCCCTCATCGCCTGGATCTGTTGCACCATCTCGTCTGGTCCATGTTTCTCGGACTCCGCCAAACGGGCAGGGGGTCATTAGCGATTTGTATGACATTGATGAAGGTGCGAACGCTATCGTAGTCGGAGTGAAATAATATTATATATTTCGCAGGCCAACCGCTTCGTCACCCACTTCCACAAACTACCCCGGAAACGCAAGAGTAGCCTACGAAAGTAGCTCTGATACTAAGTGTTATAAGTTGTCAATGAAATTAGTGCGAGGATGTCAATATCGAAGGTGTGATTCAAACTATCGGTACTGAGCGAACAATGAAGCCTAGCTATAATATAGCGAAGGCCTAGCTAGGCGAGGTCCTCGGGGTTGTGAGGTTGTGTGCTTGTTCGGGGTTGTCAAGCCCGAAGGCGACATGGTGTGCGATCGGAAGGCGAGGTTGTCGGGCTGAGCCTGGTCGTCAGAAAGTTGGGGTTGTACGTGTATAGTGTGCCCTAGTAAGAAATTAGTGAAATTCCTAGTACCTATGGGTGTGAAATGAGAGGAAATGAAAAACATGTGTATGGGTGTACTCGAATAGGCAGACTTCTCCAGAAGAATACATCTCAACGGACAACCGACTCCGCCCGGCGGGGCTCGCTGCCCGCGGGCAAAAAAACAAAACCCCCTAGGGAATGCCATCCGGTCAGGGATGGACCAACCCTAAACGCGCAGGGCAGCGAGTTTAGGGTTGATGCCTCCCTCGGATGGCGTGCCATCCGATAGGGTTTTAGTTTTTTTGCCTGCCCCGACGTCGGTCGACGTCGGCACGTCGGTCCCACCTGCCCCCAGACCGACGTCAAGCTGGGGAATCCCATGAGAGAGACAGAATAATACATCTCAACGGACAACAGACTCCGCCCGGTTGGGCTCGCTGCCCGCGGGCAAAAAAAATAAACCCTCTACGGAATGCCATCCGGTCAGGGATGGACCAACCCAAAAAACCTAGGGCAGCGAGTTTTGGGTTGATGCCTCCCTCGGATGGCATGCCATCCGATAGGGTTTTAGTTTTTTTGGCTGCCCCGACGTCGGTTGACGTCGGCACGTCGGTCCCACCTGCCCCCAGACCGACGTCAAGCTGGGGAATCCCATGAGAGAGTCCGAATAATACATCTCAACGGACAACAGACTCCGCCCGGTTGGGCTCGCTGCCCGCGGGCAAAAAGAATAAACCCTCTACGGAATGCCATCCGGTCAGGGATGGACCAACCCTAAACACATAGGGCAGCGAGTTTAGGGTTGATGCCTCCCTCGAATGGCATGCCATCCGATAGGGTTTTAGTTTTTTTGGCTGCCCCTACGTAGGTCGACGTCAAGCTGGGGAATCCCATGAGAGAGTCAGGGTAAATTCCTAGCTCGTGTCTGACATCAGGTCGTAGGCCCTTAGGCCCTGTTCGATAGCGAGGGTGAACCGGCCAGGAAATCTTTGAGGTGACCTTGTTTGTTGGGCGGGAAACGGTTTGCGACTCTTGCGACCCCCATGCGACGAGGTAGAGCGCGAACGACCCCCCTGCGATGAGACGTGTTTCCCGCCCTCGTGGACGAAACCCCTGCGATGAGACGAATTTCCCGCCCACGCGGGAAAACATGGCGGGAAGTTCAGACGGGGTAGTTTGACACCACAGCGCGCAGAAACAGTGACTTCCGCATAATGATTACTGCCCCTCCCTGGTAAATCACCAGACCATTGGGGGGGCATTGCCAATGTTACTTTTCAAATCAGTCGCCCCATGGCCAGACCATTGGGCTATTTTGGGATAGTCGCATAAAAAACAAGGTATAATGCAGTTGCACGATTTGAAATACTCTATATATTTTCAGGTCAAACATTTGGGTTCGGCATTTGTTTTTGCGCAGACCGTGGGGCCCCCGGGCAGAACCCATGGCTGGAAACAGTCCGCTTCAAAGGGCCGTTGAGGTAGAGCTTTTCGGCCACCTCGGCCGTTGCATTCGGTTAATAGAGACGGCAATGGGTCAACTCTAATGATTACACTGCCGGCGCTGTCCTACAAGTTGCACTTTGTCGCGACTATCAACCATTTGGGCGACAGAGCCAAACCAAATGGTTTCATCGGGTGGCCTCAAAGGGCTATCGAACAGGGCCTTAGTCTCTGATTTGCCTCTTCTGAATGTTGTTTTGCCCCTATTCCGAGCCACTTCGGGTCTTCCAGCCCTCCACTTCGCGTTGGAATGTACCCTCAGTATCATACATGGCAACCAGACTTCGTGGTTATCGCTGCCGGCCCTTGCACCATCGCGGAAAGTCAAGTGAAGACATCTGCGCTTTACTTGCTCAGGGTTCTTTTCAAGTCAGGTCTAGAGCTTTTCCGTGTAGGTTACGTCACGTAAGAAGTGACGAGTCATTTTATTTTTCCCTCTCTGCGGCGCGACGCACCTGCTCACGGAAAACACCATGCGTGTTTAGGGTTGACCCCATTTCGTGGTCAGGTGCCGTCACCTGGCAGGTGATCACCAGTGATGGCTTTGGGACAAACTCACCTCCAGCGCCGCGGAGGTGACTCGAGTCAGACTTCAATGCGCGCTAGGTTCAAGAGCCAACTTGGTGACCATCGCCAGCATTGATGCTGCCTGTCATACTACCAGCGGCGATGATCCGGCGGATTCGCGGTCGAGTCCGCCGTGCATGGAGGTAACGAAAGTAGCTCTCCTCCGTCGAATCCGCCGTGCATTAGTTGACTCTGTTTTTTTAGAATTCTCAGATCTTGTTTTTTTAGAATTCTGGAATCTTTTTTTTTTTTTAGAATTCCCAAATCTGTTTTTCTAGAATTCTTAGTTCTGTTTTTTTTTTTTAGAATTCTCAAATCTGTTTTTTTTTTTAGAATTCTCAAATCTGTTTTTCTAGAACTATCAAATCTGTTTTTTTTTTTTAAGAATTCTCAAATCTGTTTTTTTTAGAATTCTCAAATCTGTTTTTTGAGAATTCTAAAAAAACAGATAGCTCTCCTCCGTCGAATCCGCCGTGCATTAGTTGACTCACATACCACCTCGTCAGTCAGACCACCTCAGATACCACGAACAACGGGGACAAGTAATCAGCAGCGCTCACTCTCCTTGTACCGTGGCCCATTCTTCTCCCCTTCCTCCTGTCCTTCCCTCTCCTTCCCTTCCCCTCCCTTCCCCTTCTTCCCCTTCTTCCCCTTCACTCCCCGTCTTCCCCTTCCTTCCCTATCTTTCCTTTCCTTCCATTTCTTCCCCTTCCTTCTCCTTCCCCTTTCCTTCCTTCTCTTTCTTCCCCTTCCTACGCTTTCTTCCCTTCATTCCTTGTCCTTCCCCTCCCTTCCCTTTCTTCCCCTTCCTTCCCTGTCTTCCCCTTCCTTTTCTTCCTTCCCCTTCCTTCCCTGTCCATTCCCTTCCTTCTCTTTTCCATCCCTTCCTTCCGCTTCCTTCCCTTTCTTCCGCTTCCATCAACCCAGCAGCGATCAGCGGCCAGCAATCTCCGAGGTCTCAACTGTTGGGCAGGGTGGGCGAGTTTGAAGGCCAGCTCAACTATTTCCTGCCGCAACGAATCAGGTCAGTGGGCGCGCATTCTTACCAAGTTATTTCTTCAGGTCAGTAAGTCAATTCAACTATTGCGGAAGCCACGTCAGTTTGGCCCTATCTGTCCCAGACCCTTTCTCAAGCCGTTTTTCAGGTCGGTTTTCTCTCCCGCTCTCACCCCTCAAACTCCTTTCATCCACTCTTTGCCTCCCCTCCCTCCCTCGCCAGGACCCACCCAGAGCGAGTCAACCTTCTGACTCGCCCGCTCGACTTTCCTATCAACACGTCTCGCCTGCCCGGCGTGCTCCTGGGGTATTACGAGAACGTCCTCTTTTACAAATGTGTCCTCCGCAACTTGACCAACTATCCGAACCAGCCACGCAGCTCCGGTGACGCTTCAGGTGGCAATTCCAGGGTCGGTTCCCGTGACATTTCAGGTTTCAGTTCGGGTTACAGTTCAAGCGCCAACCGTACAGGAAGCGTGTCACGCACGGGAGTGGGTGGTGTCGTACGTGACTTGGTAGAATGGGCCCTGCCGCAGCTGCACTGCCACGGCCCTCCCTGCCCCTCCTTCGGCTCATGCACCGCCCGCTTCCCCAACGTGCAGGCCTGCTGGAACCCGCAATTCGTGGATGGGCCCGAGGACGATATCCGCCCCCCTATAAACTGCCCCCTTAAAGGAGATAGCGCAGAGCCGCGTGGCAAAAGTACTCGTAGAGTGCCGTTTGACGAGTCGTGCTCGCACGAGGGGGACTTTAAGAGTCACGAGGCGTCCGCGCTGCAGATGATGCGGCTGGAGGACGTGTTTGTGACTGAGAGTGGGTTTGCTCTCAACCGCTCGCACCTGTTCTTCCGAAACGGATGCTCCAACTTCCCAGGAACGGTGAGAAGGAGTTAGCATGGAGGGGCGGGAGAGGGGGGAGGGGGGGGGGGGGGGGGGGGGGGGGGGGGGGACAAAGAGATTGAGAGAACGAGCGCGTGTGTGTGCGTGCGTGTGTGCGTGCGTGCGTGCGTGCGTGCGTGCGTGCGTGCGTGTGTTTGAAGCGACTGAGGAATGAGGTTGCTCCCATCTGAGAGCATATGTTTGTCCAAAACGGATGCCTCCGCTTCCCGGGGACGGTGAGAGACTGTGCGGACGGTGGGCCTTGCGTGAAGAAAGGGTTTTGTTGAGTGTGTGCCCCTCTTGTGTGCCCCTGTGCTCGTGTGCCCCTCTAATCGTGTGCCGCTCTGCTCGTGTACGCCTCTGCCGTGCATTCCCTTCCCTATCACCTCCCCAGGTGACATACGACGTGGGCCACGTGGTGCATGAGCTGTCCACGCCGGTGTTCAACTGGGCGTACCGAGTCGGGCACAACTTCTTCCACTTCCTCGTGGAGCTCGTTCCGCTCTTCCTTGTCGCCGCACCCCTCATGCCCTCCACGCTGCGACACTTGCCCGTGCTCGTCAGGAGTCGCCAGGTAAGGTCCAGGTGGGATCCAGGTGTAATCTAGGTGCTGCAAATTTACACGGCCAGGTGGTGTACTATTGAAGCTCATTCCTTACAGCAACTGAATCAAGCACCGGCTCCTGCACTTCCGGTACGGGAATTTCGCACGCTGCACCTGTGAGTTTCTTAAGGCGCCCATGCAAGCAGCACCTGCCTGCGCTCTACAGGGGTAGGCACGTGGGGTTTCATTCAGGCACGTGGGGTTTCATTCAGGCTCGTGGGGTTTCATTCAGGCAGCGCATGCCCCCCTCACAGCAGTTGGTGTAGGCACACCCCTTGCTTGCAGCAAAGTCCATTCTGCACCTGCCTGTGCCCGCCAGGCGTGGCCATCTAATGCCCCTTTTTCCATCTTCAAACCATCCCATCTCATGCCCTTCATTCCCATCTCATGCCCATCTCATTCCATCTTTAAACCATCCATCTTACACCCTTCATTCCCATCTCATGCCCATCTCATTCCATCTTTAAACCATCCATCTTATGCCCTTCGTTCCCATCTCATGCCCATCTCATTCCCATGTCAAGGCCATGTTCCTAACCGCAGGGTGCGAATGTACAAACAGCTGGGTGCGCCACCCATAAGCATATACCGAGTCAATTAATAAGTGGTTTCCCTGTCATTCCCTTCCTATGCCTCTCCCCGCAGGTGCGAATGTATGAGAAACTGGGTGCGCCACTCATAGGCATCCCGCCCGATCAGATGCGCCTGCTCCCCACATCTGGAAACGACCTGTTTCATGCAGATGTGGTGTACCAGGTAAGACATGCATGTCATGTAATGCCATGGATTTCATTTCCTTGCCAATGACCTGTTTCATGCAGATGTGGTGTGTCAGGTAAGCCATGCACGCTATGCATCTCATGTGCATGCCTCTCCGCACATGTGCATGCATGCATGCCAGTTATATTCTCATTACTACTTTTCGGGGGGATTTGGGCTGCCACCCATTTTCCTCCCCCAGCCCATTTATCAGAAGTGCGAATATACCAGCCGGTCGCTCTGGCAGTTGCTGCGGCGCCGCCATCTGCTGCACCCCTCCGGCATCCCTCTCTTCAACCCCGACTGGACCTACCGCAGCCACCGCCCTCTCTCCGCCCACGCGGCTCGCTCCTTCCCCCCCGACTGGGTGGTCGTGCTGGGGAAGCGGCCGAAAGGGTCGCGACGGGCCATGCTGAATTTTGACGAGGTGGAGGAGGAGGTGGTGAGGCGGTTTGGGCGCGATAGGGTGGTGCTTTTTGATGGGTCGCTGCCAATTCTGCAAGGTGAGGGGTATGGGGGGCATGCAAAGATGTGTATATATAAACATGTGCGTGTATGTGCCCACACGCACACGTGCAATTTACTAGGTGCCTCAAATCTATGCAATAATACGTGTATGTGCCCACGCGCACGCGTGCGTGTATATCTGTAGGGGCGTCAATAATATCATTGAGGCTCCGTTTCCTGGGTTCCTTTTGAAGTGACGGTTTGAGTCGACTCACAGTCACCTCGGTCGCTTTTGAGAACTCTCAAAAGCTTGACACCACAAATCAAACCCATGTTGCCATTCAGAACATGGTGGTTTCCATACCTTGACCTCTCTGTGCCCCGTCCACACAACGTTTTAGGCGCCTCGAAAGTTGACGTTCACATTTTGAATCCTTCCATCCATGCCGCATCCATGCTACACTTAAAACCTTTTCTTCCATGCTGTCATGCGTCCCTACACTCTCCTAATACCAGATCTCTTTCTGCAGACAGGTTTCCACATAGCAGATGATTTCATTCTATTTTACATATTTATGTTGCCTTGATTGTTCCTGCATTTGAGACGCGTCAAGAACATACTCCTGCATGGCGAATCATCCTTCCCCCCACCGTTCCGTTCCACTTCCATTCCGTCCTCTTCCCCTTCCACCGCCCCCTCTCAGCTCGTGGACTCTTTTTGCGAGCACGCCTCTACATAGCATCGCACGGAGCTGCACTCACCAACATGATCTTCATGCCGGAACAGGCTTCAGTGCTTGAAATCAGGCCGGGGGAATGTACTACACATATGTATAATGGCCTCGCCGCTGCATGCTCACTGCGGTACCATCTTGTGTTCAGTCAGGGAGATTGTGTTTCCTCTGTGGTGGCTAATGTGACAAGTGTGGCTCAGGTGCTTGTTGCAATACAAGCTAAGTTCCAAACGGATGATGGCGGAGGTAAGGGCAGGGTTTCAAATAATGAAGTCCAGTAATGTTTATCTTTGTTCTTGTTGTTGGGGGACAAGTGAAGGGCTTTTTTTTTTCTCTGAGTAGGGAAAGCGGAATGGGTTGGACTAGGAAGAATGTGATACAAGAAAGAAATCTAGAAGGGTTGTACCCTCTTAAGAGGCACTTCAATGTAGGCTATAACTACCACAAATATATAATCTGATACATCCCCATAGGCCAATTGAGGGGCATCAAAACGAGCAAGAGAGACAAGTGGTCACAAGCAGGGCTGACGTTTCAGATTTAGGGTACTCTGCAGGGCTCAAAACATCAGGGTAAAGGTACCTTTTGGTTAAGATTAGGAGCATACGTTGTCAAGAATAGAACTAGGAATGAACGATGAAACAGAGAAGAGGGTTTGCACTAGCAGGCAGTTGAGTACATATAGGAAACCCTAATTTGGGCTATACTCGTTATAGAGTACCCCACTGCAGGCTAGACAAATATCACATTCTGACACACCCCCATAGTCAAAGTGGGGTATAATCAGCACAGCAAGCAGTCATAGAGCAGGTTCACAAGTACAAGCAAAGCTAGAGGCATTCACAAAGGGCAAGTGAGGAGGAGGAGGCCACAAATAGATAATCTGATACACCCACATATGCCAATTGAGGGGCATCAAAACGAGCAAGAGAGACAAGTGGTCACAAGCAGGGCTGACGTTTCAGATTTAGGTACTCTGCATGGCTCAAAACATCAGGGTAAAGGTACCTTTTGGTTAAGATTAGGAGCATACGTTGTCAAGAATAGAACTAGGAATGAACGATGAAACAGAGAAGAGGGTTTGCACTAGCAGGCAGTTGAGTACATATAGGAAACCCTAATTTGGGCTATACTCGCTATAGAGTACCCCACTGCAGGCTAGACAAATATCACATTCTGACACACCCCCATAGTCAAAGTGGGGTATAATCAGCACAGCAAGCAGTCATAAAGCAGGTTCACAAGTACAAGCAAAGCTAGAGGCATTCACAAAGGGCAAGTGAGGAGGAGGAGGCGGGACTGTGAGAGGAGAGGAGATGGGAGGCGACGGATGAAGCTGTAGACACACGTGCAACAGGAGCGGCTGGCACAGCGGCTACCGGAGCAGCGCCCCGGACTACTGGAGTAACTGGCTCCGCGGCTAAGACGAGCGGCAGGAGCAACGGACCCACGGGCGACTGGCGCAGCAGGCTCGCTGGGCTACCGGAGCAGAGCCCCGGACTACTGGCGCTGCTGACGACACGACAGCTGCCTCCGCTCAACCTCCCCCAACTGTCCCACCCCCCTTTCACACACCCCCTGCTGCAACCCTAGCCCAATCCCGTGTCACCCCCCTAGCGCGACTCCCTCGGCTCCCACACACCCACCCCCCTCAGCGGCAGCTGCAGCAGTAGAACGAGCAGCAGTAGTAGCAGTAGTAGTAGCAGGGCGGCTCGGGTTTGGTAGGGCGGCTCGGCTCGGCGTGGGCGGCGCGGCTCGGGCTGGGCGGCGCGGCTCGGCAGGGCGGCGCGCGGGCTGCAGGGGCAGGACGCACGGGCTGCAGGGGCGGTGCGCGGGCTGCAGGGGCGACGTGCGGGCTGCAGGGGCGCCGCGCGGGCTGCAAGGGCAGCTCGTACGGGCTGCAGGGGCGACGCGCGGCTCGGCAGGGCGACGCGCGAGCTGTAGGGGCGGCGCGCGGGCTGCAGGGACAGCACGAACGAGCTGCAGAGGCGGCGCGCGGGCCGCATGGGCGACGCGCGGGCTGCAGGGGCCGCAAGCACGGGCTGCAGAGGCGACGCGCGGCTCGGCAGGTCTGCGCGCGGGCTGCAGGGTCAGCGTGAACGGGCTGCAGAGGCGACGCGCGGCTCGGCAGGGCGGCACGCTGGCTGCAGGGGCGGCGCGTGGGCTGCAGGGGCAGCGCGCACGGGCTGCAGGAGCGACGCACGGGCTGCAGGAGCGACGTACGGGCTGCAGGAGCGACGTACGGGCTGCAGGGGCAGCGCGCGGGCCACAAGGGCAGGCACGGCTGCAGGGGCAGCACGGTCGCAGGGGCGAGCACGGCTGCAGGGGCAGCACGGTTGCAGGGACAGCGCACGGGCTGCAAGGGTCGCGACAGTGAGAGCTAGGGGCGCCAGCGCGCTGGCTACTGTGTAGGGCGTGGCGCTACCACTAGGCGGAACGGTGGGCCCATGTAGGAACGGTTCCTACTCTGATAACATGTCAAGAATAGAACTAGGAATGAATGATGAAACAGAGAAGAGGTTTTGCACTAGCAGGCAGTGGAGTACATATAGGAAACCCTAATTTGGGCTATACTCGCTATAGAGTACCCCACTGCAGGCTAGACAAATATCACATTCTGACATACGTATGTCCTCAATTCAACATTATCTTAAATCCGGGTGGTGAGGAAGAGTACGGTTAGGGTAGGAAAGGTAAGCGTCATGATTATTTTTTCCCCTACACTTTGACGTTCTATAAAAAATCGACGGTGCCATACCTAACATTGACGTGTACCGTGTTGGAAATAAGTAACTTAACGCTTCCTATGTGTCGTAACATCGAACCGTAAACGAGGCAAGCTATAGCGAAGCAATGGCGAGTCAACCGAGGAGGTTGACAAAAAAGTAACAGTCGGAGGTTACGCGAAGGTCAAAGGTCAAGCGACCTTTGACTCGACAAATACAGCGCGACAGCAAGGACAAACAACTGACTCGATATTGAGCAGTTGCCCGAGTCGTCAATGTATCGAACCGCAACATCAACAGCAAAACGGTTATTGCATCCTTTCATATTCCTTGTAATCTTATAAAAGCTTGTATTACCGTACCTCTTTATAATCAATCTATCTTGCTCTCACATACTAGTGCAAGGTGGTTCAACAACTCATCATTAAACGCTTCCGCAATACAAAATTCCTATCAGAGTCTTAGCCTTGAAAGATCCTAAGGGCTTTTCTCAGCCCAACATGGTATCAGAGCTGACAAGGCAAGATTCAACTTCGTTTAAACTACTACGACATCAGAAGACATGGCAACACAGAAGTAGAGAAGCTCCTCTAATGGCTCTCCCGGTACCACTCCTACTCCACCTCCAGCCTCTGGTCTACAGACAGAAGGAGGTAGAGCAACAAGACCAGCTGCTGAGTCTACTGAAATCCTGCGAACCAGGCATCGGGTTTTGACCCAAACATGATGGAGAAATTCTTCTCCTTCATGTCCTTCTACGAGCAGCACCAACAAACAGCACTTGCGCAATCAAACAACAGCGACAATAACAATGGCGTTACTCCAATGAGCCTTGACGGCTCATCCTATGCGCGCGGAAACCAGCAGCAACCTACCTTCGCCCCGTACGAGCCTCAACGCGGCTCCATCAACAACAACCGACAGAACAAATACCAAGCTCAACAGTACGTACCGCCATTCTGCCATCTCTGCAAGACGTCCGGACATCCTCGCACTCACTGCCCGAATCAGCAACTGTCAACACCGCCGCAACGTCAACTTCGTCCTTCAAGCAGCCAAGTTGCTTCTACACAAGCGCATCCCACCAATCAAGTACAGTCCTCGACAACACCAACGACAAAATCTGCACAAGGCGCAAGAAACATCGTAAGCTGCATGGCAAGAACAACTGATTCCTGCATCACCGGATCACCACCATACTACTCACCAGATTAACAGCTCGACGAAAGCATCCCTCGCCGCGAATCACTGGAGCCCAACCCGACGTACGCAGCCATCGCCCAGAGCGAACCGTCCGGGAATGACACCTGGTTCTTGGACAGCTGCTGCGGACAGCACATGTGTCAAACATTATATATGTTACTGCTGTGTAGGCTACAGTGGGTTAGCCTTTAGGGGGTACATTACTCTAGGGTTTCCTACTTGTACCCTCAATCTTTCTAGTTCACACACTTCACTCATTCTAACAGCTGCTGATGTTGCATCCTCTAAAAAAAAAAAAAAAAACAGCACACCGCTGCTTCTTTCGTCTCGACGACGCCTGGCGTGCACAGTTTCCTGACGCCACTGAGCTGCCCCGCTGGGCTGATCTGATGAAAAAGAACATTGATATCTTTGCACTTGACTTTGATGCTATCCTTGGAGCCATGTATGCATTGACTATTAGTGTCGAGGGTGACTCTTACCTGCGTGTACCGCCAGACCCAGGTATTGGGACCAGTGAGGCTGCCGCTCTAGGTGCTAGTGCGTCTGCTGCCCTAGGTACTGGTCAGGCTGCCGCTCTATGTGCTAGTGCGTCTGCTGCCCTAGGTACTGGTCAGGCTGCTGATCTAGGTGCTAGTGAGTCTGCTGCTCCAAGTGCTCGTGCGTCTGCGCCTGCTCGTACTGTGTCTACTGAGGCAGTGCATACCTTCACACTGGACTCCGGTGCTTCCCGCTGTTTCTTTCGTGACCGCACTGCCCTTGAGCAGCTTGCTCGGCCAGTTGCAGTCTCCCTCGCTGACCCCTCTGGGGGTCCGGTCATTGCGACCTCCTCCACTGTCCTTCCTTGTCCTGCGGTCCCGTCGGGCACACTGTCAGGTCTCTACCTCCCCTCGTTCTCTACGAACTTGGTGGCGGGTCGTGCGC